TTGTAGTTGTAGTTGCAGTAGTGGTTGTTGTTGGGGCTGCAGTTGTAGTTGTAGTTGCAGCAGTGGTTGTTGTTGGGGCTGCAGTTGTAGTTACAGCAGTGGTTGTTGTCTGGGCTGTAGTTGTAGTTACAGCAATGGCTGTTGTTGGGGCTGCAGTTGTAGTTCTAGCTGCAGTAATGTTCATTTTTGGGGCTGCAGTTGTAGTTGGGGTTGCAGTTTTGGTTGTTGTTGGGGCTGTAGTTGTAGTTGTAGTTGCATTAGTGGTTGTTGTTGGGGCTGCAGTTGTAGTTGGGGCTGCAGTTGTGGTTGTTGTTGGGGCTGCAGTTGTAGTTGTAGTTACAGCAGTGGTTGTTGTTGGGGCTGCAGTTGTAGTTACAGCAGTGGTTGTTGTTGGGGCTGCAGTTGTAGTTACAGCAGTGGTTGTTATTGGGGCTGCAGTTGAAGTTGTAGTTGCAGGAGTTGTTGTTGATAGGGCTGCAGTGGTAGTATTAATTGGTGGTGGTAGTGTTGTTTGGACTCCAGGTGTTGTATCAGTTGTTGGCGTTTGTGCTCTTTGGGCTCCAGTTGTAGTATCAGTTGGTGATGATAGTGTCGTTTCTGCTGCAGTTGTAGTACTAGTTGGTGGTGGTAGTGTCGTTTCTTCTGCAGCTGTGGTATCAGTTGGTGGTGGTAGTGCTGTCGGGTCTACAGGGTTAGCCCAGCAATATATTTTAAATAGACTTCATTTTACAGAAATTTATTTTTAATATATTATCAATAATATAGAATAATAATAGAATATACTTTATAAGATTATATTCAAAATATAAAAAAGTCTATTTCAAAAACCATACTTCAGATATGTTGTTTTAAAATATATTTCAAGTACACTTTATAAAATATATTTTATTAAATACACTTTACCTTAATGCCTTACCTTAATTACCTTAATTTAAATATATTATTTATACTTTATATTCTTTTTTAAAATATACTTTATCCGTAATGTATTTGTAAATGCATATATTTTTAATGCAAATTTCCAATACATTTTGCTTTTACAAATCCAGTACTTTTCTGAAGTTGTACTAATTTCAAATAGATTTGTTTTAACCTTATTTTTTTTAAATCATTTTCAAAATACTATTTCAAGGTTTCAGTACTTTGTGTAATAGTGAGTAAATCACAATTTGAAGTGTATATCCAGTACTTTTCTGAAGTTGTACTATTTTCAAATAGATTTTATGCATGTTGTTTTAACCTTATTTTTTTTAAATCATTTTCAAAACAATATTTAAATGTTTCAATACTTTGTGTAATAGTGAGTAAATCACAATTTGAAGTGTATTAAGTGTACTATTATGTGCTACTGTGGAACTTCAAGTATACTTTGTACACTTTAATCATAGTGTTTTGTGTACTAATAACCTTTTTACTCTATGCTACTTTGTACATATTTTACTTCATACTAAGGTACTGCAAAAGTGTTAGACTACCAGTGTACGGAAGGCTTAATTAAAAACACAGCCCTTAAAAAAAAATCACCATTGCAGAATAAACAAAACTTAAATGATATATATCAAATATTACCTGGCTGTGAATATCCATATTGTGTGAAAGTTGTATGAATACATCCAAGAAAGATGATCCAACGCAGAATGTTCGTATCCATGATGAAGAGTGTTTCTTTCTTCACGTCTCAGCACGGACAGGTGAGTTGACTGTGGTTACACAATGATTTAAGGTTACAAATTACTCCTCCTTCAACAATTTAGAGGGAGTGACAAAACATCATTTGGTGTTTTTATAACCTGAAAAACCAGAGGAAGTCAAACACAAATAGTTAACTGTCATACACAGCAACTTGCAGTGACATATGAATAGCAGAAATTATTAGTCCTAAAAATGGAAATGAGTTCTGAGCTTAAAAAAAACGCTTTGTGGGCTGACTGTACCAGGAAGCACTTTATAAAGAGAGTCAAACCATTACAAACTCATAAAAGGAGATAAATCAGACGTTTTACATGGTGA